CTCCTTTGGCATCCCATCTGGCATGCCCTTTGACCTCTCCTTTGACATCCCATCTGGCATGCCCTTTGACCTCTCCTTTGGCATCCCATCTGGCATGCCCTTTGACCTCTCCCCTTTGACATCCCATCTGGCATGCCCTTTGACCTCTCCTTTAACTTTGACCTTGATGTCCCATTTTCCATCTGACTTATTCCCCCACTGAACACGCCCTCTGACACGCCCTCTGACATGCCCTTTGACACGCCCTCTGACACGCCCTCTGACATCACTCTCGATATCCCTTCCCAGGGCCCATTAAGAAGCTGCTGTAGCCAGACTGGAGCCTGCAGCAGCGGCCTGCGAGTTACTAAAGTGCACATCCTTTAACTGTCTTCAGTGGGGCACCCGGTGACAGCCGGTCGGACCCACAACATCGGGCCCCTGAAGCCAGAGCTGAGATCCTCCACTCCCCGTCTCTGAAGGGGTCCCGGCTGTTCAGGACCCAGTAGGTCAGGTACCTTAATTATTTACCAGGTGAGAATGACTCACCCCCCCCAGACAGTGCCGTGTGCCTCCGGCATGCAGCATCCATATCGATAATGTCCCCCCCGGCCAAGCTCCAAATCACACTGCCTCCCCAATCGATGCGTAACGACCACCAGGGCTGCAGGGGGCCAGACACAGGATGCAGGCCCCTAGCCGAAGGGCTCTCTCATGCTCAGCCGCCTCTGAGGCGAAGCAGCAGCCGCTCAGTGACAGCGAGGCCCCGGTTGCCGGGTTACCGTCTCTCACGTCACAGCCGAGCTGGCTGTGCACCTGCCTGCGACGGCACAGCGCAGCACGGTTTCGGCGCACCTTGGGAACGGTCCCTGGCATCTCTGGGTGCCCGGCAGGTGTTTCGTTAAAGGCAGTTAATATATAGAAGCAGGGCCGGCAACAAATTGAGATTTACAATCTGCAGGGGAGAGAGTGGCGCTGTGCACAGTGACTGGTCCTGAGGAGAGTCAAGCCCACAAAAACAGGCAGTTCTGCTGATTTCCCTCTCGGGCAGGAGGCCCTAAATACTGTCATATGTCCCCAAAGCCCCTGGCAGTACCACTAGCAGCATTTGGCCTTGCCAAACTGCCCATTCTCTCTCACACAGCCCTAGTGGATTGGGGACGTTGGTGGTACACGATGTGTCATGAGGGTGGCTCTTCATTTCTAAGCAGCTTTAATATAATTTCAACATTTTATGCTACTATATTTACTGCAGGGGAGTCAGAGGCAAACACTCTGAACGAGACCACACACGGCCCTCTGCTGACACGCAGACGAACTCACACGCATATGGGCGCCTAGCGGGTTTGGAGGTTGAGTCACGCGAGCCGTGAGGAGTCCCCAGGGGTCTCTTACCTCTCAGGTCCTGCCCGGAGCGCCCGGCGCCCGAGCTCTGCCGCGGCAGGCGCAGGGAGGTGCGCAGTGGGGCGTGCCTCTGCTCATCCAGGTAGGCCAGGTCCTCCAGGTGGGCGGAGCTGGTGGCTGTGGGGAGGGGGGAGCAGGAGAATCAAGAAGGAGTCAGAGCCAGCGGAGAGATGGAAAAAGGAGAGCAGTGAGGGCTGAGATACTGGCAGAGCCCAGGCGGTAAACCAGAGCCCCCAGCAGAGACGGCTTTCCTGGCACTGGGGCCGACTCCCTGGTCCAAGTGCGTTTAGGGCGATGAAAACGTGGCACCAGATAGCCCCATAAACCTTCAATCGCAGGAGCTGCCCCCACCGCCCCCCCCACCACCCCCCCACGCCCCACATGCCCTGCCGTCACTCCCTGGCTACTGGAGGACTCTCAGCACAGGCCCGGCAGCATGGCCTGGCTCTCCTCACATTTACTCTGTCCTTCCAGCCCCAGTGACCCAAATCAGTGTTTCAGAGCTGTGAGCACACAGATGGAGCGGTCCGTTTTTTGCCGGCACAAAAAAACAAAAACGTTATGCTTGATTTGACGAGATAAAGTTATTCCATTCCACAGCAAAGATTCTACTGGCTGTACCAGTGTCACCCACTGGCAGAGTTAACAGTGACACCCTTGATGGTATAAGGAATACAGTGTTATGCAGAGTCACAGTGTTAGAGAGTGCCCTGGAGTCATGCAGAGTCACAGTGTTAAAGATGGCCCTGGAGTC